AGGGCCGGTGTCCTGCAGGTTTGAGATGTGTCCCTGATCCAACACAGCTGATTCAAATGGCTAAATGACCTCCTCAACATGTCTTGAAGTTCTCCAGAGGCCTGGTAATGAAGTGATGTGATCCAGGTGTGTTGACCCAGGGTGAGATCTAAAACCTGCAGGACACCGGCCCTCGAGGCCTGGAGTTGGACACCCCTGCTTTATAGTATCAGTGTAGTATTTGGTACAGGGCAGGGTGGGCCCATGCTTTCCCGTTGTTTATGCCAAAATTTGACCTTATGATCTAAATGCCACAGCAGAAGTCAAGGCTCATAATACCACGTAACATTTTTCCAGAGGGGAACCCAGCGAGATCTTCTGCTACTGCAGCCCATGCGTCATAGTTTGATGTGTTGTGCATTCAGAGATGCTCTTCTACCTTTCCATTTGTTTGAAGGAGTCTGCCCATTCTTCTTGATGATCCACTTTCTATTAGATCATCAATTTCTGTCTGAAACCAACAACCGTGTCACATTCTGAGTCACCTAAATCATTCTTCTGCCTTGTGATGCTCAGTTTGAACTTCAGTGGGTCTTGACCGTGTGTACGTGCCTAACTGTAATAAGATGCCACCTTGTGATTTGTTGGTTTTGATTTGTATTAACAAGTAACTGAATAGGTATACCTAGCAAAGCGAGAGATGAGTGCATATGTAAAGATAAAAGATAAAACATTAAAAAATAAAACATTATAGCATTTTACTCAAAGAGCTCGAGAAGATGTGGAGGGTGACTGTGCTCCCAATGGTAATCGGAGCACTAGTTCCAGTGTCTCCCAAGCAGACGAGTGGCTCCAGCAGATCCCAGGAACAACATCCGAGATCTCTGTTCAGAGAAGCGCAGTCCTGGGAACAGCTAAGATACTGCGCAGGACCCCGAGCTTGAAGGATAGACCTCCCGCAGGGGCGAGCGGGGAATTTTTTTCTCTGTCAGTTTTGTTTATTTGAAATCTCTAGCCTATTGTGTTGTTTGACATGAGTTTATTGACAGACAATTAACTTGGCTCCTGCTAACTGTTAATCAAAGCTCTGTTCAACGCTCACAGGCAGTTTTTATGTTGTCTTTCATTTTAATGGCAACTGACAGGGTGCAGTGTGCTTAAGTGTTGTTTGAGCTTGTCCTGGTCCTCCTGATAGTTGAAGCCCAGTGCAAAGCAGGCTTAGAGGCATAAGTGTGCACACAGTTCAGTCTCCTACTTCTGTGATATGTCGATGCTGGTATTGAATGACGCAGAAAAATCAGTCCATATTTATTGATATTAATCCTCCCTACAGTAAAAGTGTACGTTTATAGCGCTTTTAAAGGCACTCAGTGGAATGATGAACATTTGTGCTGTGTGTTTTGCTCTGCTGCCCCCAGTAGGCAATAAAATGATATAAAAACGTAATGTAAGTGGGGGCATCAACCATCGGAGGTCCAAGTGATCATCAGTGATAACCCTAACTCAAGTGACCGAGAGTCTTACGTCACATTAATGGAGAGGACTGTCCGTCTGGAAGGGCCTACTGCTGCATGTTTTCTTTTCACTCTTTACCCGCCCTCTTGCCCTCTCCCTTTTCTCCTCTCTCCCATGGTCTCAGGTGATCATCCAATAATAGCACAAATTATGCACAGCTGGTATTAATCAACACTGTCTAATTAGCACCTCAAAGCCACGTGGGTAATTGCCAAAAAAAGAAAGAAAGGGAAAACATGGCTGACAGTTTTCCCTTCTCAGTGGGCCTGCTGATTTTGGAGACCAGGATTTAATTCTGAATTGACTTAGTAGTAAATGCCTCCTTCACATCACCAACAAGTACAGATTTAGCATTTTGTGCAGTGCACAAGAATTTGGAACATGAGTGTGAGACTTTTTGAATTCTCACAATAAAAGCATCTGCTTTGATGACACAGCATTTAATAGAACAGTAGCTATAAAGTATGGTTTTCCAAACTGACGTTAGAGAGCAAACACACACTCTCACATTGTCTCTCTCAGCACCATGGACAGCAATTCAGTCAGAGGTCGGGGATGGACAGGTAAACTGTTCTTCAGTCAGGCTACCACAAGCTAAAAGAGCAGAATCTTTGCTAAAGTAACATAAAGACTGAAAACTATCATCTCCATACAGTATGCAAATGAGAAGTCTGAGTGGACGTTCCAACAAAAACACAAAGACAACACTCCTCACCCATCAGCACATCTTTCGTTATTGGCAGCATGAGTCAATAAGACACTTGGGGAAAAACAGATAGTTGGCGTGCCCAGGTTTGCACTCATTTATGACAGCGTCGTCGGGTAGTTTAAGTAATAGATTTCACACTTAATCAATATAATGATTGAAAAAAAAATCCATTACTAAGGAAAAAGTACACTGGATGAATAAAGTTAGACTTTGGTTCTCAGATAAAACTGTGAGATTAACATATAATGAAAACTCTTATAATCTGTTCAGTTATAAATAGATGCAGTTTGATACTGTAGTTCTGTTTATTAATAACTCGAGAAGCACAAATTCATTGCAGTTACGTAACACAGACAACAGCAAAAACGCCTTCGGTTGCTGTCTTTTTATAAATATATTATTCATTATTTCTAAGAAGTAAATATTTTAATGAGACTTGAGTTGTTTTAGCTGGATACTCATGAATGTGTCATGCACTTTACCTGGTTAGGGTGACTGTTTCTACAATACATGAAGGTTTTTGTAACTAGTAGTCAAGACCGCCTAGACCAAGACCAAAACAAGACCAAGACCAGAGGGTATCGAGACCGAGACAAAAAAGTCTTTAAACTGCAGCCAGACGCTGCTTCGTTTACGGGTATCAGGCATATTTATGTGTTTTTGCTGTCGCACAGCCCTCCTCACCGCTGTCTACTGTCTCACTCACTGAGAGGACAGACGCACGCTCCACTTGACTGTCGCGTCCATCACCCTCTCTGTTTTTCACATAATGATATTAGATTGGAGCATAGCTGAGCCACTGTGTGAGAGCTGAGCAGCGAAAGGAAATTAAGTGAGGAGCGGCTCTCGCTCAATGGCAGTCGACTCTTCTGATTCACTGCAAAGCACTCCGTAAGCACGGCGCTTAGAGCTGATGATTTTGAGCATGACACATTATCGAACGTTACGTTGTGTGTCATGGATACTGTTGACTCCAAATCTCCCGACCACTATGTCGATCTGAGACAGCGAGACCGAGACAGCAAGACGTAAAAGTGGTCTCGAGACATCCAACTCTATTTGTAACTTATTTTGGACTCTTAGTTTCATGCAGCAGTCTGTGAAAGAGAAGACGACACTCATACACCGTGCTTAGTATGTGTGGTGTGTTTGGGTCGTCCTCTTTTATGCCTGTTAGATTTAGGGTGTGTGTTAAATACCACAGTGCTGTGAAAAAGTTCCTAGTTTTTGGCATATTTGTCACACTTTTTCACATAGAGCTAGGGACACTAAGGTACTTTCCCCCCTTAATTTAAACATTTCATTTTGTCTAATATTAAAATTTGTTTTATGATCTAAAATATTTACTAGTGAAAAATATGCAGAAAGCTAAGACATCAGGAAGGGGACAAATACGTTTTCACAGCACTGCGTTAATCATCGACAGCGAGCTCAAGTTGTTCTGTGATATTCAGTCATGATGTCAGCTGTGAACTGCTGTGTCTGAATACTACAGTCTCGGCCTCTCGGTGGTATACACAGTGTTTCAGGACACTTACAGTGCACAGTTGCAGTTTGGTCCACAGCTTTCCCTCGGAAAAATGTGAGTACTCTCAGTAGGTATTGAATGGGGTTAGCTCTCCAAAGGCCCATGAAGGTTTGAAGAGGAGTACAGTCTACAGGACAAGGTGACCCACTTACTTGAAAAAACTATTTCCTTCCTCTCTCTCAATCTATCGCTCCGGCACTCCTAGTTTTTCTTTCACTGTGGTTTTATCCTATAGCCTCTCCTTCACTGCTACCCTCTCACATGGTGAGCAAGTGCAAGATGCTAAAATGAAAACACCTGTCATAACTGTTGCTCTTTGTACTCTAAAGTCTACTTTACATAATTTTACAGCTTCATGCACCTCAGTTAGGCAAGTTAAATAGTCAATAGTAGTATCATACTTTTATTTCCCTTTTCTGCTCCGTGGATGTGGTTACAAAGGTTGCCCACTATGTGGCACTGTGTTATCATGTCAGACACATCTACCAGCACCAACCACTCTTCTCTCTGTGGTCCCATCTCCTCACATATAAATGCTGCCTTTTTTTGTGCATTCAAATTTAACAACCAGTGCAGAATAGTGATATCTCTGCAGGAGCCGATTGTTCAAATGTCACGCTGATACGCACATCAAAGATTTTTATCTGTCTTAATTTAGCAGTTTGTTATTATTCCTCTGTACTACTGCCAAATCCTGGCTAGCTCTCTGTGTGGTCTTTAGCGAGTCTGGCCTCCTACCTGGAAGCCGCTGCAGCTCCGTGGGTCAGAGCCAGCCCACATTCTGCCCCACTTACCAGTGTGGGACACACGCCAGCAGCTTTCCCAGTGTCGCCTCTGCCGTTATTGCTTTTCATGTAACCTCCGGTGATTTGTTCATACTTTTGAGCATGTATTTAAAATATTGTTTACCTCTTAACCTTTAGTGTTTCTCCTAAAGTAGCTTTTAAATGACAGTGGGCACGTTTTTCCATAGTGTGCGACCGCACCATCTGTATGTTTCCCTGTTTTCTTGTGTTGCAAATAATGTAGTGATCTTTGAGTTACTTGCTGACATGAGTCTTTTTACAACTGTACCATTATATCAGTTGGTAATCTCTAGACCGCCTGTGCATAATTTAAATCACATGTGAGTTTTTTAGTTTTTTAACTAAAGAAACAACATGTGTGATGTAATACATCACGAGGACCACAATTTCCTGCACACCTGTAGAATTAGGTATGTCTGTCCTTATACCCACTTCATATAAAACATTTTTTTCTTTCTTCCAGCCCCAGCAGTCGTGGAGAGGCAGTTGGAACCAGAAGGAAGCTGTACAGTGCAGTTCCAGGAAGACACTTCGTAGTGATTCGTTTGTATACAGCCCAGGCCGAGGGGGAGATTAACCTCTACAAGGGCGACAGGGTCAAAGGTGAGACGGGGAATTTCTAGACTAACATAGATGGAGTTTATTTCTGAAGTTAGTATTTCAACCATCTGAACAAATACACAGCAAATACACAAGCTGCTTCTCGCTGTAGTTTGGCACATGGCCTGTGTTGCTAGCTAGTGTACATTTGGTCTGTTTTGGAGGACTAATGTTAAACAACGAAACACTCGGATATGGAGAAAGATTTAAGAAAAAGAAAAGAGGGGAGATCTGTACAGGATTGGCTGTTGGTTGATTATTCTTGAATGAGTTGATGTTTTTAAAGGTTTCGTTGCCCTGTACCTGTGCATGTGCAATGACAATAAATTTGAATTCTATTCTATTCTATTATGTCTAAGCTGAGTGTATAGAAATGTTGTTTTAAAATAACATGGCAGGTTTCCTGTTCCACAGAGATTTCCGTTGCCTTCTTTGAGTGTGTTGTCTTTCCTTAAAAGTCACAAAAGCCAGTAAACATAAGAGCAAGCAGCAGCACAGCCTGACTGCAAAGAAAAGTCCAACATGATGCAAATTATTAAATGACTTGTTCTGAATTTGTAATTGTTTCCATCCAAGATCAGCCCGCCTGTCATATCTGACTCTAAGCTCCAGATACACATACACACTTACACCTGCTGAAGCATGTGTGAAACTGCAACGGAAGACATACGACCACTGCTGGGTCCGTCTGAAGTCAAATCACTGTATTTCTTAAATTAGTGACTGTGGCTTTTATTTACCTCAACTGTAGTATCTCTTTATTTGAAGCAGTCAGACTTTTAATGCTAATTCCTTTTGTCTGACATCCATAAGTGAGCATAATCCAAACACTGTTATACAGTTAGTAGTTAAGAGAGATGGGCGAAAAATGTTTAAGCTAATATCAAAGTTTTGCTACGACACACATTATCAGTAAATGGAGAGCAGTTCTTTTATAACAGGCCAAGTGAAATCTATGCAACAGCCTGACCAGACTGTTACTACAGGCCAGCCTTTATTTCTTCATGTGAACGTGTACATCAGGGGTAGGCAACGCCAGGCCTTGAGTGCCGGTGTCCTGCAGGTTTTAGATCTCACCCTGGGTCAGCACACCTGAATCACATGATTGGTTCATTACCAGGCCTCTGGAGAACTTCAAGACATGTTGAGGAGGTCATTTAGCCATTTGAATCAGCTGTGTTGGATCAAGGACACATCTAAAACCTGCAGGACACCGGCCCTCGAGGTACAGTACATGTTACTGGACATTCAGCGGAGCACATTGTTTAACGTCGGTTTGAGTCCCACTGACACGAGCAACACCAGCTACTACAATAACTTGAATTATTTGTATTTTTACATTTATATGTTGTTTTGCAGTAGAAAATGCATCTGCTCAAAATGAGTAGAAAGGGGTCATATAAGTACCGTCGATTTAAACATGGCCAAAAATAAGTAAATAAATAAGTGAAAACAAGCTTTTTCTTTAATATGGTCATCTCGGGCTCTGGCTGTGAGCACAGAAGCTCCACCCACCTGCTTGTATCTTCTGCTGTGTAGAGCAGAGCTAAGTCTGAAGTCTTACTCAATAAGAGACCAAGAATAAAAATTATGGAGCTGGAAATTAGTATAAAATGAATCATGTGTTGTATAATTTGAATGTTTGAAAATGACTGCAAATGTTAAATATTATAAAAATTTTAACTCCTTTATATAAGAATGAGCTGCAGAGTAGAGGTTACAGTCCACCACCGATCCTAACTGAACAAATGTTGAATTCTAAAACTGAAAAAAGACAAGAAAAAAACCGATTCCTTTATTTTTAAATTGTGTCTGAGACAGCTGGAAACAGCGAATTACCATATCTGATGAAAATGACTTCATCAGATACGATGCATCTGTATTTAGACTCCACAGAGTGGCGATGCAGGAGACTAACATCATCTTCATCTGCACATGTTAAGTCAGACGCTTCATCTCTGTGGTTTGCATGAATGAGCACAAAATGCATTATTTAGTAAGCAATCACACAGGATGTGTACCAGCCCAACACATCAATGTTTTAAGCCACTACTAATGTTTGCGTGGAATACTGTGACCTTTCAAACCAGCAACGTCTCTACTTTTAAATGTAGAGAGAAAGTATTTGTCTACAATAATCAAAGATTTAGTTTTACAAAGCTTTGCTTTTATTGCAAACTCATCCTGTCGAGCCAAACTTTCTTCAAGTCAAATAACTTTATTTTAATGCACAAGATCTCTATAATATTTATACTTGATGTGTTCGTCTAGCCATTTAAAATGGTCAAGTTCTAGGTCTGAATATTTAATTGATCCAGACTGTGGCTGTAAAAACGTCCTGAATTAGTTCATTCATTCAGTCATTCTCTAAATCTAACAAAAAGACCGTAGGCAGAGCTGGAGGTGGCAGGGTGAAGATTTTGACATTTTCATTGGGAGCGACCAGAATGGACAAGATTAGGCATGATTACATCAGAGGGACAGCTGAGATTCAGTGGTTTGGAGACAAAGGCTGAGATGGTTTGGACATGTGCAGAAGAGGGACAGCGGAAGCATTTGGCAAAGGGTGATGAAGATGGAGCCGCCAGGCAAGAGGAAACGAGAAAGAACTGTATATTTAATTCACTTGGAAAAATGGACAGAAACCAAAAGGTGGAGGAGAGATGGAGACAATAAGATAAGATAATGAGATAGCAACATTTTAAAAAAAGGTCAGTCAAAACACAGACATGTCCACACACAAGTCTCTGCATGAGTCTGTATAAGCACATACCTTTGGTGCCTTTGCTTTAAATGGATTAAATGATCTGAGGGTCCTATTATCTGTACAGTAAAAAGCATGTCCCTTTTTCACTGTCCTCTAACTTTCCCAATTTTCTCTCTCCTACCACTTGGTCCAGTTCTGAGCATCGGAGAGGGGGGTTTCTGGGAGGGCAGTGCCCGTGGCCAGGTGGGCTGGTTTCCAGCCGACTGCGTGGAGGAGATCCCCGCCAAAGCCACAGAGGAGAGGAACTGTAAGTCTAATCACCTGCGGCTGCGTGTTGGTTGGAGGTGGAACCAAGATGTAGGACATGTTCTGTTTGCCATCATGCGTTTTTGTGGGGAGGGAAGGAGGTTAGTTCTAAAGAACAAAGCTGAGGCTAAATGCTGTGGTTTCCTGAGGCAGTGTAATGGCACGTGGCTCCCCCCACCCCAGGTCTTGGCTGTATGTGTCTCTGCTCCTCTATCTACTAGCATCTCTGTGTCTTACTGTCTCCTCAGGCAATGGCGTACAACGCTTAGCGCTACATTGCCCTGCTAACTCAGCTGTGATCTGATGTCCTCTGGGTGCGAGCTAATGAACATATCGTGCCATGCTCCATCCCCCGTAAATTTCCAGTGTTTCTTCGTCCCTACTTTTACTTTGTGTGTGTAGTGAATGGCCTCAGTATGTCTATGAGACCCCCCTCCAACCCCTACTCTCAATCTCCCATAGTTCTAGGAGTATGTCAGCAGCAAGAGGCAGATGGGAAGCAACTTGTCCTCCTCTTGCTGTGCTGTGGCTGTTTGCCTTCTTCTGTGTGGCTTTTTTTAAAGCTTAACCCAAGGCCATTGGCAGAGGACGCTTTTCTCACACTGTGCCACATTTAAATTGCCCCCGGCTCTGCCTGTGAAGAAAGCAGGCAGGGCGAAGAAAGCCAGTGAAAAAATGGGAGCACAGTATAGTGGCCTGCAAAGACTCACTGGGAGGTGGCCAAGGCCATTGGTCATTTTAAGGGACACTGAATGCCTGTATGAAGCCTAATAGTTGGGGCTGATTGGGGCCTTTAGAGAAGTACATTCTTTGGCCGGAGTGATTACCATTTCACAAGTCATCACAGAGGTCTCCAAAGTATATATATCCATCTTTCCAACTCTACTCAAAGGCACCAAAAGACACCAATTACCAATCAAAAATCAAATCAAAGAGTACAAGAACTTTTTTGCTTAGAGTTGATTAGCTTAACTTAGCGCTGAGACCAGAGTCAAAGTGAAATAATCAATCTGGCAGTGCAAACTTATTATTTGGTATTTACTTGCAACTCCAAGTCAACACCAGTTTGCTTGGTACCCTCCCACCTGACTTAGCCTGACAGTTAAAACATGACCTGCACAGATACAGACGGACAGTTGGCTTTTTCAAATGTAAGGTTTTACACAATGTTTTAAACAAAGCTTCATTTCATTGAAGTTTGTTGGCATTTGTTTATGCACCACTCTCTCAAGGATACACCACAACATTTCATCGGGTTGAGGTCTGGACTGTGATCGGGCTTCTGCGACACACCGATTAGTTTCTTTTTCAGTCATTCTGTTGTAGATTTGCTGCTGTTATTTGGATCACTGTCAAGCTTTAGTTGTTGGACAGATGGGCTCATATCTGACTCCAGTACACAGACTGGTCCATTCAAGTGTCCAGTGGGTGCAAAACCAAACCAAATCATCACCCCTCCACCACTGTGCTTGAAAGCTGGAATGCTGTGTGCTGATATGTTGTGTTGGTTTTCACCTGCAGTGGTGCTGTGTATTATGGCTGAGCATTTCCACTTGGCAAAGCACTTTATTGCTGTTACATATTGTTCCAGTTCCTGGGGTTTGTGCAACCCTAATGCACCGTGCTATGTTCTTTCAGCACGAAAGACTTTCCCCTGAAAACTCTTCCAAATAAGCCATACTCACTCTGTCTTAAACTTAAACATTTAACATGCTAACTGAGGCTTGTACAGTGTAACATGTAGCTGCTGAGATTTTTGCAATTTCTCTAAGCATTGCACAGCTGATTTTGGATTAATTTGCTGGGATGTGCACAATTTTAAATGTTTTCCACTTGTGAATAATCTTTCTCACTCTAGAATGATGAACTTCAAAATGTTTGGACTTCTTTGGAAATGGCCCTTCCCAGATAGACTGATGGGGAGCAACAATTACTTTCCTCTCTTTCCTCCTGAATGCTCCAAAACAGCAAACTGTCAAAAATTCTGCTTTTGTAGAGGTGATGACTTCATATACAACAGCTAATGTTAGGCTTGAGAGTCCTAAAAATTACCAACTGTCAGTCCAACAAAGTATCACCGACCTCGAAGACAGCTTCACCAATACAGGCTAACAAGAGCTAACTGCAAAACCAGCAGTGTTACCGAC